GCGGGACTCATAAAACAGTTACGTTATCCTGTGAAAGTCTCATAGGAGTTTTAACTGGACCTCAAGCACAACCCAGATTTAAGCTTGGGTAAACAGACACCGGCTACTGCAATGGAGTCACAGTAATACAGAAATAGCTGAAACAATCAACCGAGGCTCACCATTTTGTCCCTTTCAGCTCCAGAAGTTCTCGCCCAGAAGCCGTACAGTAAGGCCGTGGACTGCTGGTCCATCGGAGTGATCGCCTACATCCTGTAAGTAACACATATCTTCTTTGTGATCACACTGTAAGGCCCCTGGTTTCATCCTCGCAGCCTGACTCAACACACAGCACACTTTCAGTTGGTGTCAGATTCACAGGAAACAAATGAACAGATTATAACGTTGTCTTCACACATCACAGACTTCTGCTGCCTACTTTTGCGGTGAAAGTCAATACACTGACTGTGATCAATCCAATGTGTGCTGTGGAAGTGGAAACATCTCTTTAAACACTACAGTTACTTTTTTTATATTACTTTGATGATTTCTGACTTTACCTTCCACTGAAATATAACTGTATATTGTAACAAAGTCTCAGTTGCAGGCTATTAGAAATTATCCATTTATATAATAGGTTCATTTAGAATTTGCCCAAATATTTAGATACATGTGTATCATATTAATTAGATGTCTCGTAAACAGATACCTATGATAAGCTAGTATGCTAATGTGTGTGCCTGGAGCCTAACGCCCTATGCCCTACGACCTACGCCCTACGCCAATGCCCTTAAAGGTCATACAGCTTAACCTGAGACACTGGGGCTGCTCCCACATGTGTGTATATTTGTAGATTTTCGTGTGTGTGTGTTCTGCCTGACAGAGACATTGAGTGTGAGGTCAGATCCGGGGTCAGAGGTGAACAGCCTCAGTTAATACGATGCAGAGCGTGTGAGGTGGCAGCACACACACTGTGTCTAACACTTCTGTGATGTGACTGTGATGTTTGGAAGGACGGTCTGTGACTCTATTAAATACATGTGTCTATGGGACACACACATATATTTTTAATATTTGTATTCATATTAACCTGTAGTTTATTTTGATACTTTGGTAACAGTGTGTTCCTTTATTACTTTCTTGCCAATGAAGAGACTTTGAATTTATTTGAACGACAGAGAGAGTTTCTCCCTGCAATGAGCACAATTAGCGCATTGATTCAGACTATGTGAGCTTTTAGCTGCTGCTCAGGTGGAAAGAACAGATCAGGTAATCAGCCATGATAATCACTGTTTGTGTGTGTCGGTATGTGTGTGTTGTTAGAGACTTGGAGGGATAACTGGTCCGCTTTTCAAATCTCCGCGCGTTCCTATGAAGCTGGTTATAATACAGGAAGGAATCCATATCTACAAAGTAACCGTTAACAATAATCTACTTTAATGGCAATATGACAATGCAATACAATCATTACAATACAACATGATATATTACAGTTATATTGTAATGCTTAAGGAGTAATGCCGGCTTACTCCTGCCCTAGTCCGCATACTGCAGAGCTACTTTCACCCGAGGGCAGCATGTGAAGAAGAGGCCGAACGCCAGGGATCCTCCGGATATATACCAGAGTAAGAAGGAGGGGTTTGGTGTTAGGTCAGCTGGTCATCTCTTCAGGTCATCTCATTGGGAGACGCAACGCAGCAGGAAACGCAGCAGGAAACCAAACAGGCTCACTTTCCAACAAAAGGTCTCAAGGCCTGCATACCTACACCTCCCCCACAGAGCCATAAAACCCTGTTTACTCCAACCAGCCCAGAATGTTTATAGCCATTTGTAGTCCTTACATTTATGAAAGGATAAAACAGAGAAATCAATATAAAACACAAACACAGGTATTATTTGAACAGTATTCACTTAACTGCTACTATTGATAAGCACCAGAGAAACCCAAGGGACCTCTCTTAACATCACAACCACTGTAGCTCGTTCTAAGTTGAATGCAAATCAGGACATGCTCTCACCTTCCCCCATCTTCCTTGTCCTCAAAAACACATGTCAACAGGCCCCAAATGCAGCTCACAGTTTTACCCAAATTATTCTCATTTTAAGCTTATCCATAGTTTGCTAACATGAATAAATACAAATATAACTCTACAAATCCCCCTTTTTATCTCCTTCTCCAGAGATAAACTTAGACAAGGCATTTTGAAATATACCCACTGTCATTATTTTCTACTGTGTCCATAAATCCATCCGAAGCTGGTATTTAGAATACTTGAAACCTTCATGGAGACAGAACACCACTTTCCATGGCAGTGAAGGAACCATGAGGGGGTAGCTGAGTGCTAGAATCATCAGCCCCCCCCCCCTCGGAGGAATAGCCCACAAGGACAGCTAATAGGGAGGGGGAGATGCAGCTTGCCCTTCACGGGTGGAACTGATCAGAGCGAAGTAGACTCCTCTGCTGCCTCGACAAGTTCCCTGTGCCGTCCTGGCTTGCCGTGTCTTTGTCCCCCAATCCGCTGACGGCAGCTTCTGGGCTGCCTGCTAGAGAGATGTCTTCCTCCTCCTCGTCCTCCGGCCCGCTGATGGCGGCTTCCGGGTCGATGCTGTAGAGATGTCTCCAGGGTCCTCCTTCTCCGGCCCGCTGATGATGCCTCCCGGGTCGTCTGCTGTAAGGATGTCTCCAGGGTCCTGCTCCTCCAGTCTGCTGCTTCCGAGTAGTCCACGTCTGCCAGGGCCACGTCCGTCCTGATGTCGTCCCCTGGTCCTAGCAGGTGGTTTCCCCGCCGCACACTGGCTCCCGTGGTACGAGCTGTCCCCCTTTTCTCCCAGGCAGACGGCATAAGAGGTCCGCTGGGTCACTCGGTCGGGGTCGGAGAGCCTGGGGTTGAGCCACTTTGTCCTCGTGCTTCTCGGGTCCCCCTTTTGGCGCCAGTGACCTGTGTGGAGAAATCTGATACAACTCCCTCAAGCCTACGCTCAGCTGTTTTGCCCCACTTGGAGCCTCTTGGTGGGGTGTCTTGAAACAACAGCCGTCTGTGAACAGGTTTCCAAATTAATTGTAGCCCTCCTATCTGCCAGTGCAGCTTCAGAATCTTAATACTTGGACTGTGCCAACTAAATAAGAACCCCAACATCTTTAGGTAAACTAAATAACATATTTCAATAGCTCTGAATTTCTGACAAGCATCCGTGTTTATTTTTAAATGAAATCCTATTTAAAATCCAAATATAATATGAACTGCTAATGTTTCTGGCAAAGAAACACACTAATGTTATGGATTCAAAAACAACCAAAATCACGATGCTAACAAAGTGAATGATTTCCTGGTGATACTGCTTCTACCTGTCAGTGCTTAGATATTATCACGCTGAAAAAATGAATACAGAATTCCAACAAACTGTCATCAAATGTCTTTCTATTATAAATTTAGATGAAATGTATATCCTCATAGTGACCTAAACAATAAAGTCTATGGCTTTTACTCCTTTACCAGGCTAGTTACATGATGTTGTCTAAATTAAATTCTGTCTCAATACACTACTATGTTTTAGCTTTAACTGTAATATGTTCTTTCTACATTTCAAACCTCAGTTACTCTAATGTCTGTTAAAATATTACAAAATTGTTTCATTATCACAGGTCAACTTCTTCGGTTTCACAGTAGCCCCTTGGCCACTGATTCTGTGTTACCTGTTATAATTCAAATCAATATTTAGAAACATCTCAACATTCATCAAACAGTATCTTATCCCCAGATATGGAGCAGGTTAATTACATTCAATGCTCAGTTTGAACATCTGGGTTGGGGCGGAAGGTTTCTGTCAATCCTTAAAAGAAAAATTTAAATTGTGAATTTTACAGCCATGTTGAGATTTATACATTATACTCACTCCCCCCTTTTACACATGAAATCATGTGTAACAAAAGCCTGTAATGGGAGGGGAACAAAAACTGTCAGGTAATTGGTTAGGAACATAACGAACATTATTATCATTATTTCCACAGTGAACACTTCAGTGAAAAGAAGTGTTCCTCTCCGTCCTTCAGGCCTAAAAGAAACAGAATCTTCAGATTGTAGTTTTACATTTGCAAACCGCCAACTCATGTGAGAGGAAAATATCACATGTGCGGTTTCCCCTTTTTGTGGAATTTTTAGGAAACCTCTCGTTTCCCTTGGAGCTCCAAAATAATATGTTAGTCCAAAAACATGCTTGGTTAGTTATTGTTTTAGAATCATGCAGTTACACTGATCACATGCCGGCATACATTCACACTCACACTGTCTGGTTGTCATGTCAAGTTTGGTCAGGTTCACCCCAGAGTCAGTCATCCACAGTGCCTTGTCAAGTTACACTGTCGGTCAGGGTCAAAGGTCAGTTGGTCTCCGTCTTTTTTGGCCATGTGTCGTGCTCTGCAGAGACTTTGACATTTCAGCATAGGCCAGTATCCTTTGTCTACAAAAATATGTCACGATTTCAACTATAATTTTCAAGATGATTCTCACTTGTCATTGGGACTTCCGCCTCCCACTTTTCCTGAAACTTGGTACAAAACTCACTTCCTTCGAGTACCACTACTAATTAAAATGTCTAATGATCTATTTCAGAAACTTTTGTACAATAACTATTATCTTGAGTCAAAACATTACTAGGATCTGTGTCGCTCTGCATTTCATAGCTCATTATAATTCTGGTCTACTTAAAAAACGATGTTAAACTCTTTAGCAGTGTGTGGAACCTTGGGTGTCCGAACATGCAACAATTACTCCCTCCTTTATCAAGGATTTAAAACCGAAGTCTGGTAATAACTATGCCACAATGGTGAAATCAACACTTTAGATTGGAATTTAATATGTGGCTTGGCACTAGCCATTAATACAAACAAAGATTTGTCCTATAGAGTGGTTCCTAAAACTATCCTTTTAATGGTGATCAATATTGTAACCAATGAGACCGCTACTTTATTCACACGTGAATAAAAATGTCTTAAAGAATGAATTGTTAACATGATGAAAATATTGAAGAATATGGTTCTACTCTGTCAGTGTGTTTTAGGATGATTATCATCTTACTTTAATAGTTTCCTCTTTACTGCTATTTTTAATTTACCAAATGATTAATAAATCTTTCTGTCTTTACGTATTTATGAAGTTAATTCAAGTTATTTAAATGTGCGTTTCGTGAATAAGTGTGTTTATGTGTAACTCACTCATTCCCGTTCTCCTTTCCTCCTCCCCTGGTTTTCTCAAGCCGTGACCCCGGCCTCCGCACTTCTAATCGACCATGCCAACTCCTCTGATTCTGTCTTCTCTTCAGTCCATCAGCTGTTGAATCCATCCGCTGTAACTTTTGTAGGCAGCCATTGGCCCAGTCACATCTGCAGCCCCATCATGCCACTGTTGTTGCACTCCTCCTTTACAGTCTCTCTGCTGTTTTTATGGAGGGCGGATTCTGCTCTCATGTCTATTGTGCCAAATCTCGCGGCGCAGTTTGGAACTTCATGTCCTGTCTGAGGGGCTGATGAGAGTATCTCTCTGTATGTCAGCATGCTGGTTTGGTTCTGGATGCCACAGGTGGAGATAGTTCTGGCTGCAGTCTTGATGTAGTCTTGTTGTCGTTGTTGGTTCAGCTCTGGTTCTCTGTCTGTACGATGGAGAAGGAGGAGTCTCCTGTTGGGTTAGGTCTCGTTGTCTGCTTGGAGGGTCGGGATCAAAGCCTTTCTAACTCAGAGGGGGAGTCCAGGTCCCGGTACACATTACCTATAAGAAGTCTAGCACACTGATGTTAAATAAATCCAACCCTTTCCACTCTGTCTCTTTCTAATCATACTATCTGTCTTAGTTGTTAAATGCCATCTAAACAACATAATTAATGTCTACTTATGATATTACAAAAACTAACTCCAAAAATTGTTTCATCCATTGTTACATATTTACCCAACACAACTCTGAAATACTTACATGTTTCCAGCATCACATATTCCACACACTATGAAAGAACATCTCCATATGTTCTCTCATTTTAAATCCCACTGTTACTTCGAACAATAGTAAACCTGCAGAGCACACCAATCGGATCACAGTAATGAAATTTGAATCAAGTGTAGGCCTATGTCTTCTTTCTGAACATTTATTTATATTGTCTACATTTGCAAACAGTTCGAGTGTAAAATGTGTTTTGCACAATGTATTTACACTCTACAGATTCTTGAGTTTACTCATCTCCTGGTGCTGTCGTTGTAAAAAATGTTCAATCCCTTATTGTTTTGTACCAGTTTACCAAACAATACCGGCCAGCAATGTAATGATTAAACTCTAAGCTCGCATAAGTTTCAAGGGTGTGATACCCCCTTTCAGCCACTAGATGGCAGCAGCAGAAGTGTCAAGGGTGTGATACCCCCTTTCAGCCACTAGATGGCAGCAGCAGAAGTTTCCAGACAAAGGGAAACGCTCTACCTTGGTTTAATATATAACAGACCTCTGGCTTTAAGCTTTTAGCATTGGTCTGTTATTTAAACCCCAGTTTTAAACGGCGACTCGATCTGATTTATCGAGTTTCCAGGTTTTGCCGTGCAGGATTCAAACCTCGCATTCACACAAACTGCACCATTTCTACGCCACTCAGGAATAAACACCTGCAGATCCGCGCCAAACTGCTCTATTTTACGTCACGCAGGACTTTCGTCTACCTGTCGATCAACGTTTACGTTTTGTATATAACTTTCCTAACATAGTAAAATATGCATTGTATATTCCATTTAAACTATAAAAACACTGTGAAACGCCTACAGACAATCCTAAAGTTTTAGCGTATCCAATTACAGACAGGCGACTTTCATCGTCTGCTTACCTTATTTGCAAAGTTGCAGAGTCCTGCTGATTGTCTGAGATGTTTGAAAGCGTCTGAATTCTTCCTCAGCTTCGTTATCTCTAGACGTCGGGTCACCATTTTGTTAGAGACTTGGAGGGATAACTGGTCCGCTTTTCAAATCTCCGCGCGTTCCTATGAAGCTGGTTATAATACAGGAAGGAATCCATATCTACAAAGTAACCGTTAACAATAATCTACTTTAATGGCAATATGACAATGCAATACAATCATTACAATACAACATGATATATTACAGTTATATTGTAATGCTTAAGGAGTAATGCCGGCTTACTCCTGCCCTAGTCCGCATACTGCAGAGCTACTTTCACCCGAGGGCAGCATGTGAAGAAGAGGCCGAACGCCAGGGATCCACCGGAGATATACCAGAGTAAGAAGGAGGGGTTTGGTGTTAGGTCAGCTGGTCATCTCTTCAGGTCATCTCATTGGGAGACGCAACGCAGCAGGAAACGCAGCAGGAAACCAAACAGGCTCACTTTCCAACAAAAGGTCTCAAGGCCTGCATACCTACACCTCCCCCACAGAGCAATAAAACCCTGTTTACTCCAACCAGCCCAGAATGTTTATAGCCATTTGTAGTCCTTACATTTATGAAAGGATAAAACAGAGAAATCAATATAAAACACAAACACAGGTATTATTTGAACAGTATTCACTTAACTGCTACTATTGATAAGCACCAGAGAAACCCAAGGGACCTCTCTTAATATCACAACCACTGTAGCTCGTTCTAAGTTGAATGCAAATCAGGACATGCTCTCACCTTCCCCCATCTTCCTTTGTCCTCAAAAACACATGTCAACAGGCCCCAAATGCAGCTCACAGTTTTACCCAAATTATTCTCATTTTAAGCTTATCCATAGTTTGCTAACATGAATAAATACAAATATAACTCTACAGTGTTCATTAATTTTAATGAGTTTTTAGCTAAATCTCTTGGTGTATCCAGAAATTACCTAATATGTTGCAGGTGATGTTTTTGGTTGTTGGAGCAGCTTCAGTTCACACTTGGAGATCTAGCAACCGTTGGAACACTGTTTTTTCCAACCAACTTCTTTCAGTCTATTATTTCAGCCATAAATGAATGGTTTCAAATGAGTGAATTCAATTTAATTGAGTTAATATATATACTGTACATTTAATAGTAAATCAGCAAGTGGATAAAGTGTGTTGTGTTGTGTTGTGTTCAGGCTGTGTGGTTACCCTCCATTCTACGATGAGAACGACTCCAAGCTTTTTGAACAAATCCTGAAGGCCGACTACGAGTTTGACACTCCGTATTGGGACGACATATCAGACTCAGGTGAGCCGTCTGCCTCTTCCTCCTGAGTGTCTGTGTGTGTGTGTATCAGTGTCTGTTTTCTGATATGTTGTAAAAACTGCATAAATACACGTTATACAGACATTCATGTTGAATAGTGTAATCGTCCGATTTATTTTTCTTGCGCCACCATGAGTATTTGCAGTTTGTTCAAAATGGCTAAACAACTATTGGTTTGATTGATTTACATACCTTCATGGTCCACTAACTAAGATGAAGAGCATGGTAAATCCTACAGCTGCTAAACATCAGCGTTGTCTTTGTAAGCATGGGTTAACATGGGTTGAAATAGATTTCATCAAGATTTCTTTCAAATGGCTCTTTCAAGTTGGCCTGGTGTTTATTTCTGACGTATTATGGCTCTTTAAAACATGTTTTTTTTCCAGCCAAGGATTTCATCGGCAGTCTGATGGAAAAGGATCCAGAAAAGCGTTTCACCTGCGATCAGGCGCTCAGACACCCCTGGTGAGAAACACACTCACACAGAATAACACTAAGACATAACATCAGTAGTAGATGTACAGTCAGTAAGGTTGAGAATGAGAATTTCTCTGTGTGTGTGTGTTTAAGGATTTCCGGGGATACAGCACTCTGCAAGAACATCCATGAGTCAGTGAGCCGGCAGATCAAAAAGAACTTCGCCAAGAGCAAATGGAGGGTTTGTTTACTCATATTTTTTTTGGGTGGTTTTAGCTCCTTTGCAGCAATTTACTCCAGTACAAGTCCTCAAACAAGTGTCTGTGTAGTTGAATGACTCCCCCATCGTAATGCTAGGAGTTACCCTTCTTTATCAGAGGAGGATGTAACACTTTCCCTAAGAACTGCTCTTCACACAGTTTGTCTCTGGGTCTAAATGGCACATCCAGCTTTTCATCATCCTATTTAATTTCCCTCTCCAGCAAGCGTTCAATGCCACCGCCGTGGTTCGGCACATGAGGCGGTTGCAGCTTGGTAGCAGCATGGGGAGCAGCATGGACGCCTCCAACCTGCCGACCAGGCCGAGCCAGACGGGCCAGAGCCAAAACACGGGCCAGGCGACGCAGAGCCAGGGCGCTAACACAGCCGCTAACACAGAAAACAACGTAGCAGTTCCCCACAAAGAAAGTGAGTATAAGTCATTAGTATCAGTAGCACCAGAAGGACTATAGAACAAATGTGTACAAAATAAAATGTAGCCCATCCACATAACAGCAATTTTAGTTTAGCAACCGTGAATGCATTTCTCCATTAGATGTCGGAATATGGCAGAGAACAAGATCTGTGGTAAACACATGTTTACAATACTTACAGGTTTTCTTTATGAAGATAATCTCCACATATAAACACAATTCTCATCATTTTTTAAGCATAAATGCAATCTCCAGTAGTTAAAAAGCTAACGTTAGGCTCTAAAGGAACTACATCATGGTTGCATGGCTGCCTCTGCTAAGCTAAAGGTGGACTCACGTTTGGCGCGATGGAGTTTAGAAGTCTTATTTAGTAACTTGTAGAAGCTTCAGGCAAAATGATGGGGTATTTAGTGACGTTGAGGAGAACAAAACATTGGAATATCTCAACTTGTGTTAACCACAGACATAAAACATTCTCTTAGTGAGGAGGGAACAGATAATGCTAAAATGCTAACTCATTGCCGGGTTTCAGGACTCGTTCCTGCACAACTTCAAATTAAGGCAGAGTGGTTGAGGGTCGGCCATTTGCTCATAGTGCAGAAAATCTCCCTCTTGTTCACAGCCTAGTCTTGGCAGGTATGCTAAGAGGACAAATCTGCTGAAATGGTATATTCCTCATGTGCCGTGCCAGAATGAAAGGCATAGTTACTGTAATGAAGAAGGTGTAGCTTAGCCAAGGGTCAATTTACATTATAAAAAACATTTCTGCCAACTTCCTCTCTCAGATGCTGCTGCCCCGGTCACTCCCTGCAGTCTGGCGTCTGCAGCCTCCTCTCCCGCTGCCGGGGCCGATCTGACCCAGCAACACCCCACGGTGGTCACCCCCCCGATGCTCACAGAGACCAAGTGACGCCAGGTCCCGCGGAGAACTAGCTGGGAGGCCACAGCACTGTGAGGTAGAGAGACAGAAAGAGACGGAGGAAGACTTTGTTTCTCCCTCTCCTCACTGCTTTTCCCCCAGCAAGTTCCCCGCCCTGCTCCCAGGAGAGCAGAGGACTTTACCTTCACCCCGCTGATACTGTACACCCACTGCTTCCCCACCAGGACGCCATGTTGGATTCCTCCAGCCACAACGACACATGGTGACAAACATTAGGAGGATGTTTGGAAGCCCAGCTTGAATTGGTTGCTGGTAAATTATTTGGGGCGTCGCTGGCACAAGCTTGAGCCGTGATTGGTGGTTGACGGTGGGGCCGTGTTATCCTATCATTCAATTTCCTTTTTTAATCTGGTCTTTGCTGCACCACTTTATTTAGCCTTTTTCCAAACAAGGAATGAGTGTTGACAACTGGATTGTTTTATTTCATATTAATGTAAATGTAAAAGGTGGTATATGTAACTTTTCAAAAAGCAAGCACATTATTGTCAAATTGATCTTGCCACTCTGATCGAATTTAGTTTAATCAACACTACAATTGGCAGCCAAATGTGACCTGGTGACTGTGTAATTCAGAGGCTTAAATAACTTTACAAATGTAGCAGCTAATGGGACAACGATTCATTCATGTTTAAAAGCTACATATATCATCTTTAGGTGTTTTATGTTCTTATTGGCTTTTTTGTGTTTGTTTGTGCTTTAAACGTACCATACGACTGTTGAGATGTGGAACCACGAGTAAGCGCTACAAAGGGTCAGGTGAGCCTCTTGTGTTTATCACAGAGGACGTCAGAGCATTGTGTGACTTATTTATTGTCCAAAAGATACTGATCTGTCTATTATTTTCTTTCTTCATAAGACTTTTATAACAATCACCTTTTAAGGGACACATACAGGTTATATGATGAGCATGAAGCAGGTTTAGTATAGGGTCGTTTTTGTTTCTGCCTCCAGTTGAGAATGTAAGGAACTACAAGTTAGCTTGGCCTTCGTATTCCTTTACAAACAGTGCAGTGCAGTTTGAAGAGGGCCACAAAACACATGATATTTCACTTACTATGTCCCACAGGGGTCTTCAGAGTATTTGACCTGTGTGATGAAAATCCAAGATGGAGAAGCTGTTGCCTGCTGGTCCTGCGCCTTCTAGAGAAGCCATGATATCACCCTTTAGCATCGTCAAGCTGCACCCAGTTCAGAAGTGCTCAGGGAAAGCTGCGGCTGCACTGTGAGCTGGTGGAAATATATTTCCTGTTATTTGGTCCAGGTACCGAGCCATCACAGATATGATCTGGGGCTTACGTTGTTAGATGTGTCCTTATTGTAGTGTTGTAATGACTCGTCATTTAAATACTTGATTCCAGCTTCACTTTTAGCATTTGCTCTTCGCTCATCATGAGGTTGGGCGCAGAGTCGTACGGTGAAACAGCTAGTTAAGTTCTGTTTCTATGGTTTCTACGTCAAAAGGTCAGCGGAAAAAGGTAAAAGTGGAAGTCATTTGAACTTTCAGCACTGCAACATTATCGAGCCATGAGCGTCACCTTAGTTGGACGGTAAAGCTCACTCCATTGAAACACAACGGCAACGCCAGCCCAGAGCCTTTTTACCGTTTGTCATGTGAAGGCAGCTTTAAACTTGGACCTAGACGTTTTGAACTCTCAGACTAAAAGGTGTTTTTTACTTGATCAGCAGCATTTTTGGTCCATTTTGTTTTGTTAATAACATCCTGAACTCTGGATCAGCACGCCAGAGCTCTTAGACATAATTGGACAGAACTACCAAAACAACAGTGAGGATTAGTTGGTTGTTGCTTGATCCAAGAGCAGCTGTTGGGAATCCTGGTTAGCGTAGCATGGTTCTCCAACTTAAATGAGATGGTCCAGAGATGGCTAGTAGTTGCTGTTCAATGGATCATTAGGTTTGAGATGACGGACTGACTTTATCTTGAGCTGTTTTTGATGGAGCCTTCTCATGATTCCACAAGCTTTCACAGTCTATCGTTACTGGTGGAAATTTCAGTTAAGACAGAACTGTACAATGTTGAATGCTCACACATCAGATTGTCATGATGCAATTCTTCTGATCCCTTTATTGTGAAATGTAGCCAAAGACCAGTGCTAGAAACAAAGACATTTGGTTTGTGCTACTGGGTGAATTGGCGAATACAGAACTAGTCAGATATGAAGCTGTTCGAGACACAAGTCGACTAAAACTAAGGGCTGAACTCCAGCTGCAAATTCATCTGGAGAAAACATGTATTCACTTTGTTCCTTACCTAATCTGTAGCCATTTACCTTTTCTTTTTTTTTTACACAGAGTGCTGCAAAGTGCTTATGGCAAAAAAACAGTAAGTACCTTTTGGCTGGTTGAGTCGTTGTGTGTGATAAGTTCCACTGAAGTTGACCAGAACAAACTCTGACAAGACATGTGTGAATGCTATCCAATCTATGTTTTCTTCATCACCTCATACATTGTGAATATTGAACTGGCATTGATGCAAAGACACATAATGGCAGTTTTCCCAGCAACTAATCCAGTCAAAATATAGGTTTAGTTCATAGTGCTAGGGGTAGTTGTGAACTGAAGGCCTGTTAGGCTGATTTATTTTGTTATTTATTAAGTGCAGTCATAGAGAAAGTTAACGTTGCACATGGACACAGTTCACCTTTCAGAAACATATTTTGAATGTGAAAGTTTTGAGCAGGGACTCCATGGACTCTAAAGAGAGTCCATGGAGTTATATTGTTTTACTTCTTAGGGGAACTTAAAACCATGTAAGGGCTTTACTTATTATGATCACCTAATCGGATAATTCACTGTAACCATAATACAAACCACTTGATTGCTATGCATTCTTTTTTACAGTGTGTCGCCAAAATATTTTAGGAGGAATTAGGAAACTTCAGCACCTATAGTTCATAAAGATAAAACATTTACATTTTAGGGGGATAAAAAAGTGCATTAGTGTTTTTGAATGAAATCCATTTAAAATTGTCATACATGTTTTTTATGTGGCAAAAAATATATTATTGAATGGTCAACAAACAAACACCATAAGAATATGCTCTTAACATTGGAAATGGAAATGTGGTTTACCAACAGGACGAGGGTTCAGTATTAGGCTGCTCTAGGTCTTTATGTCTGCTGTTTAAAGATTCATGAATGAATCTTAACATCTCTCGTGTAAATAGATTGTGAATATGAATAATAATTTTCAAGATAAAATGTACCGATGGTTTGCTGTTCAAGCATGTGAGAGGGAGTGAGTGTGTCGAGGAAAGTTGATTGTATTCTCTATAGAATGTTTAATGTTAAAATAGGTGTCATGTATTCTGTCCCACACGAGACTGAGAGCTACACATCACGTGTAACGCCATCACTGTTGCAGTGTCACGTCAATCACCAAGTGATCGCATCTTTAACTGAACTCAGGCTGTCATTTCTGCCATTATAACGGAAGAAATCCAAAGCTGTGACCGAATCAGACACACACTGTTAAGGAGGAGCGGCGCTCGTCCACCCTTTCGCCTTTTTTTTTACCAAGATGCTATCACAAAAGATTAAAAAACACATGCATGTTGATAGAAGTGCTTCAAAGATTCAACTTCACCATGAGTGTTTGCATAATCTTATATGCCCTTGTACAATGTTAGTATCTGTATTATGTAAAGATTTACACAGGTTGAGATATCCCAGTTCACCTAGTAGCAGAGTTTCACCTCCACAAACAGTTTCCATAGGTGGAAATATTTGGGATAACTAGCATTTATCAAGAGAACAAAAACGTCTGCTTGTAAGAGGGAATTCCAGCTGATTTCCTGCATACATGAATGATATGGCAAGAACGTCAATTATTAAAATAAAGTTTTTTCCATTTGAATTGTATGACATGGAATATTGCCTTATTCATGACATAGAATATGACTATTTACTAAACAAGGACATGAAGCTATTAGCTTGTATGGCTTCAACTGAGGCTACTTAGCTAGCCGTGGATGTTATGCTGAGTTTAACACAGTAATATATTTGCTATGTTTGCTAAGTTCTACATCTGAAGGTATCTAGAAATGAGACAAAGAATTTACTCATATGTAAGTTAAGCGAATACTTGATAAAGTTTGTTGCTAAACACTTTAGTAGTCACAATATTAGCAATATCTCTCATGGAGGGAAAGAGTTGCTAGGTTTGTTAGTTGCAATGCTAGCAGCTGCTAACGCAACTAATGAGAGCAGCTCTACCTCTGAAAACTGTTTGTGGGACTAAAACTTGATACTTGCTGTTGTTAGGGACCCAGTGTCTCCCTGTGGGTGTCCTGTCCAGAGCCGGCATATTGTATTTACTCTCTGCATGTGACCACAACTCCCATCCTGTGCACCGCCGTCACTCAGAGGACACCCTCCTTCCTCAGAGCGCACTAATTGTTCTACGATGTTGATGACTCTTTGTTAATGGGGCTTGTATATCAGATGCCTTCGACAATCATGTGCACATATCAGAGTTACCATGATGACACAGGCCAGAAAGACTGATTGTGATTTGTTTGTCTTTGTCCTTGAATAAATCCGAATGGTCGAAACATGACTCCTGTTTTTTTTTTCAGGCTTGTGGGGGTGTTTCTTTCGCCGCCATCAGCGCCATGGCATCGTTTCCACTGCTAGGCCAATACTACTCAATTTGACCTCCCTTTCATGACCATCGCAAATCTTGAACTTCCTGTCTCTTTTTTTATAGTAACTCCTGCAATCATTTCAGGTAGTTTCCGAGCTAGCAACGAGTTGTTTTAAGCATTGGATATGCATGTTTGGCTGCTGCAGGGTTAAGGTATAGTTCCTCCTGTACCTGTGTTACTTTCATGCTAATCTCTATCAATGCAGATTCTGTAGGAAACGGGACAATATTTTGGTATCAGAAGAGTTCTGCTTTCCTTGAGGGCTGATTATTTGCCAGAAGAGAGAAATGCATATGCGTCGATCCATCGCCTTTTGTGTGGCCAATCTGTTTTCTTCCATTTGAAGTGATCTTGTGATGTGACGGCTCCTCTCCTCCCTCCACAGCTTACGTTTTCCAGACTGAATCCGAAGAATATTTCAGCGACATCCTGCTGTTCAGAACATTGCTGCCCACACAAACACATTCCAGTCACTTGATGGACCAGACATGCACACACACGCAAACACACATCCCTTTCTCTCCCTGTAAGAAACACACACACACACACACACACACGTACAATGTCTCCTATGATCCTAACCTCTCTTAACACTCTCTGCGTGATGCTGATCCGCTTAGTGCGTGTGGCTATTTGTTATTTTTTGTACCCCAATGACCCAGATGTTAATGGTCTTTGTTAAACATTGTCACGCACAGATGTTCATCCAAGTTCAATATTTATCCAAAAAACATACATACAAAAATATCCATATACAAGCTCATGTTTCAAACTTGAAAAAAGATTAATAATAAAAAATGAATGTTCCTAATTTCATACATTTCTGCTCACAGTCAGGGAAAGTTGATTAATCATTCAAAAGTAATGTTGCTTAACATTGGTTCACCAGGTGTTGCAAATTGTCTTAGATATGTTTCAAAAAGCTGCATCAATGTGTAACATTTCATGCTATTAAGTATTTCCAAATCCAGACCAAGATAACCCCAAATATATCACTTGGGTGTCACTGTAACTATGAAAGCTCAACACTGTCTCTTTTCGGAGACCAGGCAGCTCAGCTTGATTTTGTGTTTGTGATCACGGCCTGAGCGAGCACAGAGCGGCTAGTGTGTCCAATTGTACAATCCAGCAGAGCATCAGTAATGCTCCACCTGCAAGAGTAATCACGGAAAAAACGAATTATTCTCTTCCAGGGAAACATGTGATAGCCAGGAATGAACATCACTTTTGTATAATAGCAACAAGGGAACCAATAGAGATAAGAAAACGTTTCTTTACAAAAAATCTACGTACATTATTACTTTCTTTGTGACAGTTTCTATTTCTTTGTCTCTCACACAGAGACCGCCCAGCAGTCTCTGGTCCTCTACGGCCATGTTTCAGTCCAGGTGGCTGGCAGTAAGAGTCAGGTTAAAACAACTAAAGTTTCATTCTCTTACGTATCGTCGTGCTTGCATATCGCCCAGGTCTAGGCTCCTCCGGTGTGATAGAGTTGAGGTGATGCCCCACCCTCCACACCGCACCCTTCATCTTCTCCTTCAGCTCCTTTGCCTCCTGCTCGGCCTTGCGTGTCGCCTTGCGGGCGTTCCTCAGGGAGCGCTTCACCTTCCGAACGCGCTCCTTCAGCTGCCGGTTCCTCCTCTCCGTCACTTCCAGGCGCTCCTGCATCTTGCGGCCTCGCTCCTCCTCCTCGAAGAGTGCGGCCTGCACTGAGGAGCACAGCAGCTGGAGAAAACAGAAAAGACATCAGAAGGGTTGTTATCTTTACAGGCAAACCAAACTGTTGTAAAGAACCAGTTGCTTGAGAAAATATTTCACCCTTTGATGTCCACAGCTCTGTTTTTCTCCTCTGCAGCCTCACACACTTGGATGGAAGGAGGATGAGGAACTAGTGGAGGTCCTGACCCACGTCATTATCCACACAAGCTCACTACCGACCAGTGGTGTCTGTGTCATATTAATGTTTCACCCCCTTCTCCTCCCTTCCTTTCCAGAAAATATGAGGGACCCTCATATTTACATACCCTCATTGAGGGTCACGCACTTCGATGTCAGGGGCCCTAATCTTTCATGTCATTGGTAGACCAAAACTGACCTCAGGTCAGAGTCCTGGGTGACCCGCAAAAAAGGTGATTCGCGGGTGGTATTTTTTCAAACGCTTTTTTCCGGGTTCGGTTCTGGGTAAAACAAAGATGATGCGGGTCGGGTCGCGGGTATTGCATAATAAATATATTAAAATAATAATAAATTAGTTTAATGTTTAAAATCCTCAGACCTCTCCCCCGCGGGACCGCGCATAATCATAACCTCTGCAGCGCATCAATCTGCTGCTGTGCGCGCCACATTCGAAATGGCTGAGGTGAAGCTCTCTAGCGGAGAATACAGCATTTTCAATAACACTTCCTCAAGAGCGAAATCCAACGTCTGGGAGGCTTCTGGTGTCATCCTAGATGGAGGAAATAACCAACTTCCCACGCTTTCTGAGACAAATATGAAACTGCGTGTGTTAATAATTGCACGTTTTCACTGCTCATATATGCGGGTTCGGGTCGGGTTGCGGATCTTGTGCCGACGGGTCGGGTCGGGTTGCGGAACTAATTGGCAATATGTGCGGGTAGCGGGGCGGGTTCGGTATTGCACATCGCGGGTGCGGGGCGGGAGCGGGTCTTGAAAATCAGACCCGTGCAGGACTCTGCCTCAGGTAGAAGGGTTAACAAGGGAAAGCATGTGTCTTCACATTCTACTGCGCTCAAAGTATCATACAAACATAGGAAAATCTAAATTATGTATAATCATGGGCGGTGTTCTGCTAAGATATACAGTCCACAGCCCGAAGATTGAGCATGCTATGAAAAATGAAATGCAAAAACTGTTTTTATTTCTCTGAAAATACTATATACATTGTATTAAAGGGCCAGCTACATTAAAAGTAACATTTTCATTGGAGATAGTGTTGGAAAGTTTTGATAACAGGTTATACAGTGAGTTTTGTGGAGTAAGGTGAATGCTGTTATTCTAACATGCAACAAAGGATTCATGTTTATTTTTTCCAATGTAGTTTTAATGTTCTAAATACAATGACCACATGTGGAAGCATGAGAGAGATGGTTATCTGAAAACCTTGAAAACAACAACTGAGCCTTTAAGGGAAGTCCCTTTCCCCCCCATCTATCCAAACAAAAGTCAAATCCAGATTAAATAAAATCAGTACGTTTTTTTTTTAAACAGTTCCAACACTGCCTCACGCTCAAAGGAAGACTCTCAGTGGGGCGGCCCACACACACACTACCAGCACCTGTCAAAACATCCGAGTAGTACCTGCCTGCTGTTAAGCATCATCTGTATAAACAGAATTTAAAAGACATGTAAAGCCATATGCATGTAAAAAATGTCCTCATATTCAAGTATACGAATATGTTAACACAGGAACAGAGTGTCTTTGGTTTCAAACACTTTACTTAATAATTGAGTAGGGATGGTCTCATATTTTCTAAATTAAACCAGAAGCACACAACTTTACGGGATGCTTGATGTTTAAACTCCAGCTGAACCATGTATGGAAACTTCAGCTCAGAGACATCTCCGAAGATTTTTTATTAAGATAGCGATGTTACATTTTAATTAGAGACCAGCAAAACAAAAGTCTAATGCCTTTAATCCGATAAAAAAAGGCAAAGGAAACATGGAGATAGTGCCAGGAAGTCCATCCATCTCATCATCCTTCACACATTCCTGGTACAAAACACCTGTTTTGTCCCGCCATGCCCAGAGGTCTACATGCGAGTGCTCGTCCTCCAAATGAGCGAGCGGTTTCTGCTTTACTCATCTTTACTATATTCCTTACAGCCTGCGGGGCATAGCAGTAAAGGATGCTAGAGGAAGACGCCAACCACTGCACCGCTCCTCAAGGTCTGAACTTTTGACTTGACAATAAACAAAATGCAATAAATTCATTTGGGAAGCATTAACCCGTCCTCCTCAAAGTCAAGGCTTGCCTGTCACTATATGTATTTGTTATTCTTCCAGGATTGTACCAGTGGATCTTGGCACTTCTTAGCAAAGACTTTGAGTGATCTAGAAGTCAGCTCTAAATGAAGTCAAAATTGACAGCACTCAAGTATCTGTCATGTTGCAGACCCTAATATTGTGTCTTTACTTAACCTAGTAAAAGTCTACAACTCTCACACAAACCCGGTGATTTTGAAGTTGCTGTAATGATAGTGCAACAGAAGGAAAAGCTCAACAGCTGCCCTGGTATCCTTCCTAATTGAGGCCAAAGACTTGTGCAGCGGCCGTGTCCTGTCTTGTCTGAAGTGTGACCCGCACAACTCCCTCAGAGGAGCGATAGCAAATCTGTTGACAGGGTTCGGCTTATCTCTGATCCCAGGTCAGCGACTATTGCTTCATGCTGTTAGAAACACAGGCTGCAGACGGACACACTTTCAAACTGCTGCCTGTCCAAGATGAGGATCTGTGCTATTTGACCTTTGGATAGGCCAGTATCCTGTCTGCCTGAGGAGCCGGACCTGGACCTCGAGCAATCAGCAACTGCTTTAATCTTCAACTGTTTATAGCAGGGGTAACTTTTTTGTTAATCGGCAGCGGACCCACAGAAAATTGCTATCAGAAACAATTGTTTACATTAGCAAGCCTCTCTAACACTCAGAGCTAACCTGTACTGTAGAGCACATGTAAAAAGCAGGGAATAAAAAAAGGAACTCACCTTGTGATAAACCCCCAAGAGAAAAAGCATTTGAGCTCCATACTGTTTCAGAAATAATCTTTGATGTGGTTTAGAACAGGATGGCATTTTATCACAGCAGAATTGTACTTTATCTCCGGTATAATTCTGATCAGGCATTAGCTCTGCCTCCTCTTTTTATTTTTTAAAGCTAAGGACCCAAAATCCGCGTTTCTCTAACAGAGCTGCAAAAGAGGGGTATGAGCAGTATGAAGCATGGCTACAATGGGTGAACTGTTTGGTATTTTAAGCAAAAAGCTTCACAGACATGTATAGGTATGGCCCTACAATATATTGTTCCAATATAGCATAATAGGTCCACTTTAATTTACATTTTTAAAATTATTATTTATTTTTATAATGGGACACAGGGTCCAGAGTTTGAGAAGCCCTGGTTTATAGCATGTGACCAATCCCATGCCTATAATCTTTTTGTAACCAGTCTGTCAGGTGTGTGAAAACTGGACCAGTATTCCAGGTTCTTAAAGGATGGGTAATAAATGAAGTCAAACACCAGAGTGAATGAAGTGAATACTGAGATTTTATAAAGAAAAAAATCGATATATTGGCACAGGAATAAACAACATTCTTCTAAATAATTCCAATTGTTTTTATAGCGCTTGACACTTGGGTGCACCCCAAATAAAAGTAAAATAAACCCCCTAAAGAAAATAGTTCTTTGTTCAGTTCCTGTAAGGTCCTCTCAAAATCCTACCACTGGTAGCGGAAAGATGAGGTCAGGGAGAAAATCCAGAGTCCACAATCCAGAATCTTCTTATCCAAGGGTATCATAAAAACCCAGCCTGTGTAATATAACACGGCTTAAAACATTGCAAATGTATCTTCAACACATGTGCATCAAATAGGCCTATCATAACTGTGCAGTGCTAAATTATCAATGCAAATATACAACACATTTAGATACCATAATATGGAAAACTGTTGCATTGTAAATAAAAGATTCATTCTAAATGCACTACTAAAAACACACTGACTTCAATAACCATGAAATCATTAAATGTAGATCAAGATAAGCATTTACAGTTTAAACATTAATGCTCAAAACATTGTAGTAAACGAAATAAATGTCTAGTGCTCGTTAGCACTGTATAGTAATACACAATATATAGCTACTACTGTAACTCTATCAACCATAACTCATATTTGCTAAATGTAACTGAACTCTCAAAAGAGCTAGGTGGCTAACACACCACGATGGCCGCAGCATGCAGGCAGCAACTAGCATGTAGCATGTAGCGTGTTGCTTCACTCACCGAGGAAAATAAAATAACAATCAAAACTCCCGCTTTCCAACGCAGCTCCAACCTCCAACGACAGCCCCAGTGATTGGTCCACCGCCGCCCCGGTAAAACTCTCAATTTGCGCTGTTTCGTGCAGATAATGATCACAAGTAGGCTTGTTTGAGACGAGCGAGAACGACGCAGACCTGCGCAATTGCGATCGCCGTCTTGCTAGTGCGTTCAACTGCGTTGCATGCATAGGTTGCATGATGGTTAGTTATTTTGTCCGACTTGCTCTGGAGGCTCGCCTACATGAGACGTTGAAATCTCGCGGGACAAAGACGCCCGCAGACTTGAGAGCGAGGCGCGGCGAGGCGGCGCAGTTTCTCTCCACGGGCTGCTGAAGCGAAATGCTTGATGGGAAATGACTCGCTGGTATCTCGAGCTGAGCGCTCATTGGTGCTCAGGGTGTTTCTCAATCGCGGGTACGCTTGCTTGGTAGGACATGTCTTCCGAGTTACTTCCTTCAGAAGCTAGGCAAGAATCCTTCCTGGCATTCGGAAAACGAAGAGTGGAACAGGCTAGCAAGTGTGCAGGTGCGTCATATGAGAGGCCCCGCCTTACATTTTACCCCACAGATTTGGTGAAATTGGTCCGTGCGTAAAGCATTGTTGGGATTTTAAGGACGAAATTTCCCCCAAACCAAGGACACGGCCTCGGTGGAATTCCAAGTATGCTGGACATTGGAACGGTCCTGCTGCGCCACTTGATGACGTAGCATCCTTGAAATGTTGGCTTGGTAGTCGCGTACTTCCAAGTCACTTCCTTCAGAAACGAAGCAAGTATGCTTCCAAGCCACGGCTTCGGAAAACGAAGAAGAATGGAACAGGCTAACAAGTGTGTCACTCTCTCTAACGGTTTCAACATAAACTGTACCGAAAATAAATACCTCATGATGTCTATCTAATTATGAACTTGCTTTACTTTCACGGAACACATTTTTGGTGATAACTAATGTAACAAAGTAACATATTTACCAACACATGTTCTACGCCACTGCATCATACTTGCCAACCGGTCCTTGAGACCTCAGAAATCGGGAGCATTGCAAAACAATTGCTTATTGTAGTTGTTAGTGCACTGTCTTGTATGGGGGTTATTCCCTATCTTTATTCAAGAGCGTGGTATTTAAATTTGAAAGCATACTTTATTGATTTCTTTCCATCAAACCCTGTCCTCGCACTCAAATAGTGCCTGCTTGCACTTATATTTGCTCTGCTTCTGCTCAAACTGTGCGCTTGCACTCAGATATGCTGTTTACAGATTTTTTTCTGCACTCAGATTTATTCTGTGCGCGCTCGAAACTTTTGTGCAATAATCCTGTCAAAATCCCTCAACCAATAGGAGGCCAGGTGTCCTTGCGGGTGCGTTCGCTTTACTTATTGCGGCCTGTAGCATGGAAAGGAGTGAGCAGAGGGTAGAGTTGTCGATTCTTGTTCAGTTTACTGTGACTCTCTTCCTCACCCTCTCAGACTGTCAGTTGCGCGCGCTACTAAAGAGACGCGCTACCATAGGCGGTGCGTGAGGCTCAGGTTTGGGAAGGCTAAATCACTTTTTTTTACCTGACGCTGCCCGCCTCCGGCGTCTATAGAAAAGAGATCAACTCAGTGGCCTGCTGACCAATCAGAGCTCAGTGTGCGGAGTTTAAATATCTCAAGTCATATTACAGGATAAAGGAAATACACTTTAAACTGCTGTATGCAGAGAAGACGCCGACGTGTCGCACTAATCATTCATATCACATTCAATCAGATCATCGATCATATAATATCAATATAGCCTATATTATCTCCTTATCTGAGTCAGCTGAGCCGTGTCTGGCCGTGCAACACTCACAGTGTCACATAGGCCTACTGTATGCAGAAGCATTATTTTAAGCAACACATTAGGTTGACGAAACACTCAACTCAAATGTAGTTAAAGTCAGATCCACTCGTGTCTTAGATGGGGCAGTGATATCATAAAACTGTTACGCTTTCAAACACTCGGTAGTTTATTTATTTTTTAACCAGTTGTTCTGTATTCACCTTGCAGGTGGCTTGTATCCTGAATTATATGTTTAAGTCATGGATGTTTAAAGTTCATATTTGTCTAATATTAGTTTACTTTTCATTAATGAAGTATGACGCTGAGCTGTCAGTACACTTGTCCCTGTTTGTGATTGGTCAAATGTTGCTAACCCCACCCCTTTCACGTGAACGCGCTCTCAGCTGGTGAGAAGCCCTGGCTTGATTTACCGAGTTGATATTAACCAGCGTCGAGATCTCGTTTGTTAGGGTTAGTTTAGATAATTCAAACATATCCAGGGTTTGAACTGGCTTCGTAGCACAGGGCACAGGTGGCTGCATAGCAGTGCTAATGTCAAAGACACAAACATTATACATTATATTTTTATTTTACCAGGATGCAGTGACAAAAACATTTGGTAAGGCTTATGCCCCGGCCACACGAGGACGAAAACGGCTAAACGCATAGGATTAACGCAAACGCAAAAAAGCTTCCGTCCACACGCAATAGTCATCCGGATAGTGTCTGTCCACACGAGACAGCTCCGTTTAGCTCCAACCGCTGGAGAAGCTGCAGTACATATGCAGGAGCCTGTACGTGGCGCTGTGACTTCCTCCACAAAAGCAGCGAAGAAGCATGGTTGTCATGGTTGCCCTTCTGTTTATTCTCCGCGGTGGGGGCCGAGGGAACCGGGCAGAGTTTTTCGCCAGTCAACGTGTATTAAAGTTTAAATCTTCCGACAAAATTATAAAAGTGCCGGTCAAAGGTCTTCTTTGTTATTTATTGAGCTTTAAAACAAATGAATAACGAATCTATATATTATAATAATAAAATACACGGAGCCTCTCTTTTTCCTCCCTCTCTTCGGACAGCGCCAGTGTCTGTTTCATGCAGCAGCTGATCCAGTAATGAGTGACCCGGCCGACAGTAAAAATAAACATATTTATATCTAGTTTAGGTAGTTTGAGAGGTAATTAAAATAGCTAAGGGTGATGATCGGACTTGAAGTGTGTGTTTTACTCCGTTCACCGCCGCATCACAGCGGGAGGAGCTGCAGGTGAGCAGAGCTGCGTGTCTCCGTCCTGTCAGATTAGACTTCACTCGCGTTTAGGTCCATATCGAGAGAAAGATAAATAATCTGAATTCAGTGTGCAGTTTACTTTGACGCGGGGGTGAGCAGCAGAGGTGGGGAGAGGCGGGCTTTTGCCTCATCATTATCAGAAAATTATCGTATAGGGCGTACACACGGAGCCGTTGGACCCCCCAGAGCGTTGCGTATGCCGTTCTATCCACCTTGGGACCCGTTATCGTTTACGCAGTCGTTTAGTGCCGTATTCGGTCGTCCTCGTGTGGCCGAACGGTCTATATGACACTAAACAGTAACGCAAACGACCGTTTTCGTCCTCGTGTAGCCTACAGCACTCGCCGCCCCTGCGCGCTACCATGGAAACCAAACAATGGTGTCGCTGTATTAAAGTCCGAGTGGAAACAGTCCTGAGTAAATCTGATTTTGTCAGAAATCGGGAGAAATGCGGGAGAAATATGACCCCGGGAGGAAACCGGGAGAGGGCAATAAAATCGGGAGTCTCCCGCGAAAATCGGGAGGGTTGGCAAGTAGGCTATGCACTACATAGGCTACTTACATTTAAATCTATGCTGCGTCGGTTCAGCCATTCTCCGCAAGGGTTTTTGAAATTGGTCCGTGCGCAAAGCATTGTGGGGATTTTAAGGATGCGAAGTCTACCCATGTGCAGCCTCGAAATTTCCCCAAAGCCAAGGACGCGGCCTCGGTGGAATTCCAAGTATGCTGGACATTGGAACAGTACTTCGGCGGCACTTGATTACGTAGCATCCTTGAAATATTGGCTTGGAAGCCAGTATCCTCGAGATTGAGAAACGGCCAGTGTCTCCGTTCTTCCAGCGTGACGCTGCTCCCTCACACACGTCTTCAACGTGCCTTCACTAACCTGAGTGAGGAGGCGGGACTTGGCGGATTTGAGTCCAACTGCAATCATGATTGCGTTATGAACCAATGAGCTTTGTTCTTAAAAGTTGACCATTAAACTAAAATATACTATAAAATAACTAAATAAATAATTATTAACAAACAAAATACAAGAACCTTGTAACCTTGGTTTATCCAGTGGGTTACATTTTGTATCAACTTTTCACTACCAAAGTAATCCTCTATCTCTATAGAGGCGAAGTCACGCCCATCTACTTCCGGTCCATGGGACCCCGGAAGCGAAAAATTATACATTGAATTCAATGGAGAGAGAAAACGTATCTTTTGATCCCGTTTGAATTGTGCCACGAACTACACATATGATGTTTGTCAATCTTAAACAATCATTTCCATGTCAAAAAAGTCACATTTTGTCGTAAAACTGTTGAAATATAAGACTATGAAAAATACGCGACAACAAAGACTACAAATCCAAAATCCCATTCTGGGTCGCGTAAGTGATGTCACAGGCGATAATGCTCCAAGTGGTTGGTTCACTTTTACAAGATGCCTGTGTGCTTTGTACCAGGTTGTAATCACAAAAGTGATCATACCACTTGCTCGTTCTATCGCTTCCCGTCTGATGAAAGGACCAGGAGTCGCTGGATCAGACATATCAGGTAATATCATAGGTAATATACATGTTGTGCATGGAACATAGTCAAGTTAGCTACCTAGCTAGTAGCGACGAGTAGCGAGCACGTTAGTTAGCATTACATTACTTAGCCTTGTCATTTTTAGTAGCCTTACCATGAAGTTATTATTTTATTTAGGGCCGGGACTCGATTAAAAAAGTTAATCTAATTAATTAGAGGCTTTGTAATTAATTAATCGAAATTAATCGCATTTTTAAATCACATATAAATATTTGACCTAAGAACAGTGAGAAGCAATTTTTTTCACATGGATTTTAGTATACCATTAGGCGCATTCACACCGCAGTACTTTTCCCACAAAGGTTCATGAGAATTTAGTTCATGAAAACTCTTTGAACCTGGGGGTGGATTAGGCAAATGAAGCCGCTGACGTCACTTATTCTTCTTCTGCTTTGGGTTTACTGGCAGGCCGCAAACCACTTCACGGCGTATACTGCCGCCCAAAGTCCCCGGCCGGAAGTCCCCGGAGTTGGGGACTGGCTTCAGTAGAAGCTGCTGGGAGTCCCAGCAGCCTTCCGAGTAAATCGCCAGAACGCCGACACCTCCTCATCTCCACCGCTCCCATGTTTTATTTTGTGTTGCCATAAGTTAGTCTCTCTGCGTTTCTGCGCTGGGCTAATGCTAATAATGCTAATGCGAGGATAATAAAATGGCGGCTTCACAAAACTTTTTGGGAGTTTTACGGGGCGTGGTTTGCAATCCGCCCAGCCAATCAGAAATATAGCTCTTTTCTCACAAGAGAGCCGTACGAAAGTCCCTGCTCTCTCGCAGCTCTCTGCTCTCTAGCAGGGACTTTCGTGGGGGTAAAAAGGTTCTCATGAACTAATTTTAGTACCGGCTCTTTTTGGTGTGAACGCGATAAAAGAGGCTAACGTCCACGCTAGCTTCCACGCTAGCTGCTATATGTTTTGCATTGAGGTGATACTTGAGGCTTGATGTGCTGCGGTGATATGCGAATTCCTTTTTGCATAATTTGCACACAACCGTGCTCTTATCGACGCTTCCATCCGTCCGTTTTTTAAAACAACATTTCCCACTGTTGTTCACTGTGGTTTGTTGTTGTCTGAAGTCATGAACGTTAGTTGGTGCTCCAGTATAATCGGTACGCCTGAAACTCATCCAGTGAGAAACGTTCCGCGGTGCAAAAATAAGTGCGATTAAAATGCGTTAATTTTTGTGTAATTAATTAATCTTAATTAACGCGTTAAAGTCCCGACCCTAATTTTATTACATGAAGTAAACCAAAATGTTAAACCGTAAGAGTAGTCATGATGGTAAGTATTTCGTGAAACATTTGAAGAGTAGCCTACTGCACATAAGGAAGCAGTTCAGGGAGAGTCGAAGGCAGGCAGGGAGCTTTGCATGACATTCTTCTGGACGTGTTTCATTGTGATGACAGTGAGAGTGAGTCAATCTGTTTGTTGGAAAGACAGTCGTTGTGTGCTTACTGAGAGAAAATTGTTAGAAGAGATAATTATTCAAAGTGTTGTTACTTTAAACTAAGTGTTGTTACTGACCTTTTTCTCTTTTATTTTCTTTACCTCACCTGTAACTGCTGAGACGTTGAGGAACATGCACACTGGACTGACCTGTTCTGGCAACCTGATTTCCACTGTACGTAATAGTATTTGGTTATGGTATATTATATATATATGAGAGCGAGGCGCGGCGAGGCGGCGCAGTTTCTCTCCACGGGCTGCGGAAGCGAAATGCTTGATGGGAAACGACTCGCTGGTATCTCGAGCTGAGCGCTCATTGGTGGTTTTTACCACGTGCTGCTGATGAAACTCTCCAATTGGCTCAGCAAAAGTTTGTTGTTGTTTTGTGTCAGTTTTACGTCGCCACATCCATTCCCATTTTTCATCATTGTTCCACAATGTTTATCATCATGACATTAATATCTATATATTTTATACTATACTTGCACTGCTTACCGTTTTTATACTTTATATATCTTAGCACATTCATACACACTGTTCATACTGCTCACAGGCTGATATCTAGTGTATTCATACCCCTCACTGTTTATTCATCATTCAATTCATTCTATATTTTATTCTGTCTATTGTGTACATTACTTTTCACTTTACTGCTTGTTGCACCTGGTTAGAAGCTAAACTGCATTTCGTTGTCTCAGTACCTTTAATATGTGCAATAACAATAAAGTTGAATCTAATCTTGAGCAGGAACAAATGTATTTACTTAGTACATATCTGACTTTAACGATTAAACACATGTGTGCATTCTTTATAAATGCAAACCGAGTCAAACCGACTCCGGAGGTGGTGGTATGCACCTTAAAGTTGTTTGCAATCCGCCAAAAAACCGAGAGAAGAAGAAGACGAAGCCGACTCCGAGCTGTCCGACTTCAGGCGAGCTTTTTGAGACCTCCCCCGGCTGCGATCGGCTATTCTCGTCTACTTTCGAGGCGAGCCGCAACGCGTCTCAAACAAGCCTAGTATGTATTGAAGTCAATGGAGAGAGAAAGATTATCTTTTGATCCCGTTTGAATTGTGCAACGAATTACACATATGATGTTTGTCAATTTAAAAGATAATTTTGCAAGTCAAACAAATAAAAATGTGCCGTAAAACTGTGAAGTAACACATTTTTTTGTGTGAAGCGGTCAATGAACTACAACTCTGGTCTTGCACACATCACCAACACCAAGATGGCCGTCACGTTAGCACATTTCACCTCTTTCTTTCAGAATGAAGCGAAAAGTATTAAAAGAGGTGAAAATCACTAAGAGGCTGGCCATGTTGAGAACTGTACATACACAAAAGGGGAGTTAGTCGGTTCCAGCATGCGGGACCGGCTTTACAAGGTTTCGGTGAGTGTAACGTTAATGTCAGCTAGCTAAATTCACTTACGCGACTCTGGGATTTGTAGTCTTTCTAGTTGCGTATTTTTCATAGTCTTATATTTCAACAGTTTTAAGACAAACTGTGACTTTTTGACATGGAAATGATTTTTTAAGATTGACAAACATCATATGTGTAATTCGTGGCACAATTCAAACTGGATCGAAAGATAATCTTTCTCTCTCCATTGACTTCAATACATAATTTTTCAGAAATAAGGTCCCATGGGGCGGAAGTAGATGGGCGTGACTTCGCCACTCTATTGTTTTGAAAAAGGTATGTGTGTTTTTTTGACTGTCAATCTGTTATATCAGTGGTAAAGAGAAGGTGTTAGGTTTGTTTACTTCCTCTGTAAACAACAGAAAAGCTGACCTGACTGAAGAAGATATATATATTTGTTTAACTCATCATGCTCTATGGAAGTTCTGAGGGTTACAACTCTTGGTAGCATGGTAACCGTGCAGACCATAATGTGGTGTCCTACCCTGCTGTCCTCCTGGTTTTCCCACTCAGGGCTGAAGGTGTGGAAAGGCTGGCTCCCCTGGGTGCAGTTGGAGAACTGGAAGAGGCTGGAGAACATGCGTCTGTTGTCGGATGTGTCTGAGAAGATGGCGTCCTGGAAGTTGACACCATGGGGGAGGATGTTGTAGTTCTCATCCATCCTGCAGAGGAGATAAACAGGAACACTGAGAAGATAGTACTGGGATGTACAGAATGAGCTGTTTTAATGGCTGACGCAGTTCAAAAGCAAGAAATGCTATCTAAAGATATTTAATGAGCATAACATTAGCCTGTAAATGTTCTTCTGTGACATAAGTAGCAAGAGCAGTCAGATAGATGATAGTGATAATAAATATATTTAAAGTCTCACTTAATGGAAATACACTGTAACAAAGAGCATAACTAGATGTTGTGCCTGTTCAAACTTGTTTTGCAAAGTGCAAATAGGATGCTGTTTAACTTCAATTGCAACAATACAACGTACTCTAAACTGTTTGAATTGGTGTTTAAGCCCTATGACAGTTTGACTTAGATAAATGTGTCCAGGCAGGCCTTGCAGCTCACCTGAGGAAGAAAAAGTAGGAGTTATTCTCCATCACGGTGTGGGACTGGCACAACAAATATCCCAGTCCGGTAAGGTTGAGCCTGGATCCAGAGGGCACCTCCAGCATACTGCCCCAGGCCTGATCGCACAGCATCTCCACCTCCGCGGAGTACAGCAGCCCTTCCTCCGCGCCCTCGTACCCATCCCCAAAGCCGAAGTGCAGCGAGTTGTACAGGCTGCCCGCCCCGCCGCCCCTGGGCTCCCGGTGGATCGCCAGGACCCGGGCGTATACGATGATCTCCGCCAGCTCCGCCCGACAGCCCTCGCTCAGCGGCCGCCACTCGGAGGGGAGCTGGCAGCCGTGCGTAAAAGTTTCCAGATGCGCAAAAACGCCAAGCGCTGCGAGCAGGAGAGACATGGGAAACATTCTGAAGAGCTCCAGAATGGTTACAGGTCTGGTCTAAACCCGGTGGTAATGCTTCAATTGAGAAATAAAATGTAATCTACTTCATGCTGGGCAGTCCATCCAAGCAGCCAAGTTACAGAAGTTGAGTTCAAAAATGGAACCAGACATGTAATGGTTTCATGGATCCAAAAGCACTAATCACAAAGTAATTAAAACAACAACAAATTCGATCACAGTGATTTGGTCCATTAACATCACCTGCAGACTCAGATCTGCTCTATCCCAGAGTCCTTAAAGGGGTCAGATCAGTTTGCAGAAAGGTATTGCACTCAAACCTTCTCCTGTGTTACCGATGTATGCTCCTCCTCTGTATGCACCTTCTCTGACAGTCTGCTCTTCCTCTTCTGTCAGTCTGCACCACCTCTATTATTCTGCACCTCCTCTGTCAGCACCTCCTCTCAGTCAGTCTGTAACCCTTTATCAATAATGTTAAAGAGTTATGAAACACAAGCTACTTTTAAAATATAATTTCAAAGATACTAATGGTTGACACACTCATGTGCATGTGTGACACCCAGTTGGCACTTTGCTTTAACTACAGCCAACTACATCAGAGTGAATCTTTGTAGCTTTGAATTTAAGTTTATAAAACACTGCCATCTACTGGACACTGACATGAACAACATGCATTTATTACATACATATAAAGCGAATACATGCTTTGTTTTAGCTTATGTTCATAAGCTTTTTGCAATTCATTTATATTTTACAGTCACTTCATTTGTTTTTTTAAATTATATATTACAATTATTATGTAAGTCTCATGTTTTCAGTTTGTTTACACAGGGTGACTCCGGGGGGAATTTCCCGCCCTCACGTGCAACTGATGAGCGACGTCACTGCAAGGAAGGACCTTCGTTAGTTTAATATGGACAGGAAGTAAGACACATTAGCTTTCACAATAAGAGCATACATTTGAGCTGCTTTAATACATTTCCCTTACATTACAAAACCTAGATTAACAATAACATTCGATACAATAATTAGAACATAATTGAATAATTGGATTGACTACAACAGAATAAAGTTATTTCCCAAATATAGAATTGTTAGGCTAAAAGAAAGTGTTCTTTCATATCATTGGATACCAATATGTGTTACTTATATATAAAGTTTGAAAATGTATATGTTGATGCTAATAGTTTTGTAAATGTACTTAAGCAAACATTTGTATTTTTCTTGCACCAGAGTTTGTGTGTACTTGATCACTGTGGTATTACTAGCCAAAGTTTTTCTCTTCTAAAAGGGTTGAATAATTCGTCTACCTCTGAAAGTGGTTGACCATATAACCTGCTTTTATTTTGGAAAGCGCTCACCGGAAGTGCTCTGTTTCTCGACGTTGATCCACAAGCAGCAGCACCTGAAGGTTGACAGACTGTCCGGCTGTCCTGTTGTTGTTGTTGTTGTTGTTGTTGTTGCTGTGAAACTCTGACCATCAGACTGACAGCAGCTACAGGTCCTCAGCAGGTGAGACTGACTCTTCTTCCTGTCTTTCGTTGCTGTGACGCACTTTAAAGTACATCCGTGTTGTGTAATTTACTGTAACTTGTCAGTGTTTCCATCGGACAGGCCCGCCTGAAGAAAGCGAAAGTAACACTGTCCGTCTATTTATAAACACATATATACCCATTTCTACATCTGGAACATGTGTAGTATTCAGTGGCAGTTTTAAAGTAGCATATTTCCCACTGTGTCCACTGTAGTGTACCTTAAGTTGAGCCATGATATTTCCTGTATTGTTATTATTATGATTGCAATGATTTATTGTTATTAGTATTATTATTGGTATTATTAAGTATTGGTCATCGCGTGAGTTGAAAAAGGCAGTACACCACAGGGTGTTTAACATACAGCTTTATTATTATTAGTCATCAAGTGGATGTCACGTGGTTTCCTGATTGGATCATGTATGCTGCTTTTCTGCTGATCTCACAACGTCAATGGTTTCATTTCTTCACCTTGTAACTCATGGTGTGGGACATAAATCCTTTTCTCCATACAGATATTTCCAATATTCCAAACAGAAAATCTGCTACAGCTTTAATTACAGTATTTAGAATTTACTTTACAACACAAAGCATGATGAGTGCAGATAAGCAAAGTGATTGACACGCGAGAATGTGAGCGGGTCTTCATTACATTGAATTGTTGTTTATTAGATATAAGACGTATGAAGGTTTAAATAAAGTTCACCTGTACTATTTCCTCTGATAGTTACTGTGTCTTCTTTAGCAATATTATATCAATTTTCAAGCTCTCGTTTCTTCTTGAATCCCTTTGCTCTCAGCATCATGGCGTTTGAAGGCCCTGTGATGAATGGCGACATAACTCGCTCTCACACTGAGTGCGGCACACAGGAGGAAACCCTGACGCAGATGAACAAGCTCATCCAGGAGAACCGGGACCTGAAAGGTGAGACCAGCTGTGTGTTAGGGCCTGCTGCTATAATGCTGTAATGAGGCGTGGCTAGGGTCAAAGGGCAGGAGACGTTATGTTCCTGTCAGGGAAGTTTAATGTGTTAAGCAGCTTTCAGGAGAGTTATAATAGCTATTGTAAAAGTTATAATTCAAATTCTCTGCGTGTGTCTTTTACTCAGAGGCCCTGCAGCAGACCAACATGACGATGAAGGAGCGTTTTGAGGGTCTGTCAGCGTGGCGGGAGAAGCAGAAGGAGGAACGGAGCTTCCTGGAGTGCAAGCTGGAGGAAGCTCGAGGGCGCATGGAGGCGCTGATAGTCCAAAACCAGGAGCAGGAGGCGGGGGGGGCAGGAGGTGGTCTGCTGGTGAGGGTGTAACTGGTCATTTGTTAATTATTAACTGTTTCAATGTATTCAAATTCATTTTATTACGTGTTCCTCAATTACCATTGTAACTCAATTGGTTCTTTCTCTGTGATGTCGTCTCCAGGCTGCGTCGTCCAATCACAGTGCGGAGCTGGACGCCCTGCGTGCCCAGGTTGCTCGCCTGCAGGCAGAGAAGAACGACCTGGTGGCCATGAACTCTGAGCTGCAGCTGAAGGCCGAGCAGGACTCGCAGGACTCCTTCATCGAGGTCTTCAACGTGTCCGTGAGTAGTTAGCAAATATAACATGCGATAGCGAAGAATCAGATTTCTATCTACTATTTAGATGGAATGCTACACGGCTGGAAACCAAATGTCTGGCTGTTTCTCTTCTCAGGATGGAGGTGTGGACGGCGTGAACAGTGTGTGTGGTTTGGAGCGCAGCAGACACTCGGAGCTGAGCATGACGGGGTCCCGGCTGGAGGGCGAGGAGACCACCGTCAGCCAGCTGCTGCAGTCTCTGAGGGACGAGACGCAGCACGCCGAGGGGCTAAGGACCCAGCTGCAATCTGCCGCCGCCAGGTACAGCACCACAACACGTTATAACGCCATGTTATAATCTAATTATAGTACATCATGAAAGCTGAAGCGCTTAACAAGAAACAGGAAGTCAGGCCTTTAGGGGTTCCTTGCTCTTTTTCCTGTAAACCTGACTAAATCTGCAGTAAATGACATATTTCTTTTTTTGTAACTGACTCTCACATCTCGACATGTTCCTCTGACATATGATCCGACAGAATAAAGGAGCTGGAGGAGAGGAAGTCTATTGTGGATGAATCAACACAGACCACCCAAGCAGAGCCCACAGAGCCCAAGCAGGATTCTGGGAAAGAAGAAAAGGTATTTAGAGGTAGAGGTCCACTGATGTGTGTGTGCAAGGTTAGGTTTCCTTATTGTAATGTTTGTGTGTCATTGTGCAAATGTGTTAGGCAGCATCTGAGGTGGAGAACATGAAGTCTCAGATGATGACGCTGTTCAAAGAACTGCAGCATGCCCAGTCCAAGCTCGATGAAGCAGAAGGCATGAAGAAGAACCTGCAGGACCGGTCAGACCAACACACACACACACACACACACACACACACACACACACACACACACACACACACACACACACACACACCACACACACACACACACACACACATACATACTGTCTTAATGTGTAATACATTTAGTAAAGGAACAACAATGACACCCCCGTTCGTTGTGTGCCTTATCTCTGCTCTTGTGTACAGATGTCGGGAGGTGGAACAGGATGTTGTCACTCTGAAGGCTCAGCTGGCCGACAAACAGGAAGTGCTTTCTGTCAACGAGCGGCTGAAGCTGCAGGTGGACAGCATGCAGGCTCAGAACCTGATGGAGCAGAGGAAGACTGAAGAGGAGAGGTCCGAGGACACACACACACACACACACACATGCACACACACACACACTTACTCACACGTGCATACACATTAACACTTATCCTAACTTTTTTTTTATGCAGTAATAACATTATATATTTATACTTGTTTATGTCACTGATTGTAACGCTGACCCTCTCCCTCCTTCCTCTTCCCTTCCTCTCTTCCTTCCATTCTTCCTTTATTTCCTTCCTTCCTTCTTTCCTTCTTCCTTTCATTCATTCCTTCCATTCTTGTTCCATACTTCCCTCTCTTCCCTTCCCTCCTCCTTCCTTCCTTACCTTCCTTCCTTCCTTCCTTCCTTCCTTCCTTCCTTCCTTCTTCCTTCCTTCCTTCCTTCCTTCCTTCCTTCCTTCCTTCCTTCCTTCCTTCTTCCTTCCTTCTTCCTTCTTTCTTATCCTTCTTTCCTTCCATTCTGTTCATACGTTCCCTCTCTCCCTTCCTTCCTTCCTTCCTTTCTTCCCTCCTTCTTCCTTTCTTCCTTCCTTCCTCTTTCCTTCCATCATTCATCCCTTCTTCCCTCTCTCCCTTCCTTCCTTCCTTCTTATTCTTTCCTTACTCCCTTTTTCCTTCCTCCTTTCCTTACAGGAACAACATGGCCCTTCTGAAGGATGCCTACACCAAGCTGTTTGAAGACTACGATGAACTCAAAGAGGAGAAGAAGAAGAGAGAGGTCAGTTTATGAAGCACAACAAGGAGCCTTTTAGCAACAGATAACCAAAGCAGACCAATTGCAGTTTAAAGTGTGTGAAATGTGGTGTTGCAGTCTGTGCTGGTGGCGAAGGAGGTGGCGGAGCAGCTGCAGGAACGTCTGACTGCCGCCGAAGAGGCCCTGGCTGCTAAACAGAACCACATCGATGACATGAAGCAGGAAATGTTCAAGAAGGAGGAGGAGCTGGGGACCATTTCCGTGTTCAAGGCTCAGGTGAGTTGCTGTGAGGCCAAGCGTCTGTCGTCTATCAGTTTAGTGATGTTTCATCAAGCGCTCTGTTGTTGTGTAGGCTGAGGTCTACTCCTCGGACTTCTACGCAGAGCGGGAAGCGAGGGAGAAACTCCACGAGGAGAGGGAGCGTCTGGCTGCCCAGCTGGAGTATGTGAAGAAGCAGAACAACCAGCTGCAGGACGAGATGGACTCGATGGGCCGGTGAGGAATCAAACACAATTTTAACACTAGCTGTAAACAGTGAGTGGGAACAACTGCCTCATGAGGGCAACAAGGACACATGGGAAATCTTGCATGATAATAAACAAGTATATCGTTTATTTGTTTGCGTATTAGATATTCAAAGCATAAATCCCATGGCTAATCACTTTATCATTCACATCATACATAATTCGAATGATTTGCCTTGTGTTTGTCCACAGGCGCTCGCTGACCGAGATGCAGCAGAGACATGTGTCACTGGGAGGAAGTCCACACGGAGCCGGAGCCTCTCTGGTTGGGAGAGGTACAGCTGTGTTTATACTTCCTGAGCATTGTCTTCCTGGCATACTTCCACTTTGTAAAATAAATGTCAGCATTTTGGGTAAATGTTTGTTCTCTTGCCAAGTTAGTTGTAGGGATTTATACTAGGGCTGCTCAATTAATCGTATTTTAATCGCGATTACGATTATGGCTTGCAACGATTACGAAAACAACGTAATCGAAATAAAACGATTATTTTTTATTATTATTATTATTTATTTATTTATTTTTTGGTTTTTCAGTTGAATTATACTTAAAGTTCAGGGTAATCAACTGTTAAAAACATACTGTTCAAAAAAAATTCTCCAATAAATGGATATTTTCAAAGTCAATGAATAATCGCATCTAATAATCGCAATTACAATTATTGACCCAAATAATCGAGATTATGATTTTTGCCATAATCGAGCAGCCCTAGTTTATACTGTTTACTTGGCTTAGCATAACGACTGGAATCAGGAAACAGCTAGCAGGAACTATTTCTTGGATATTCTACAGTCTTATGTAACTTGGAGGTTGTTGACAGTTGGCACTTGGCAAATTAGAAACAATACAAGCATGTAACTCCACAAAATGAACATCACAGTTTTCCTCTGTTTCCTAATTGAGATTGTGCGTTCAGCATGTTCAGGTTATAATCTGTGTCTCTGACTCTCAGGAACTGACTGGCATCATCAGGGGAATATTCCCGAACACGCCTGTCCGAAGTGCAATGAGGTCCTGCCAGACCTGGACTCCCTGCAGATCCACATCATGGACTGCATCATCTAGAAAACCACCATTACAAGCTTCAACAACAATAATCTGAGACTTCCTCTTCTTTATCTGTACCTCTGTACATCTGGTATAGCAACACAACTTCATTTAAATATAATTGAGGATTGCTTATAAAAATGTGGACAATAACAAAATACTGGGTTTTCTTTTTCTTTTGTTATTTGACTGGAACCAAGCTGTAGATGAACAGTTCAAACCCTTTGATACGATTTGAGCAATGAGCTGTCTGTCATGCACACTTAAAATAAATTCAGCCTTTACAGTTGTTATTGGTTAACCAATTATTTGGTTGCAGAATGCTATTTTTTTGTATTGTCTTGAAATTCCTAATCTTTGTTTCCTTTGAGAAGACATTTTAGCTAATGGTTGTTGGTGGTGGTGGTGGTGGTGGGAAAGACAGCACAAAACATGTAGGCACTTTATTATAAAGAAAATATACGAGGTATTTTATTTTGACTCAGTGTAAATTAAAATGCAATGTATTTAACTTGTTAATCAGCCTATCACTGTGTATGGTAGCTTTTATATGTCTATAAGCAGGAGGCATCAATACCCTGCTGATTATAGGAGAAATTCTGATTCTGTTGTAATTCTCTGAAATAAAAAGATCTGCTAATTTCTGTCTGTTTTCGTTATATTGCGAAATAATAAAACCTGAAGGATTATGACTCCGACAAGGTATTTAAAAAAACACTTGTTATTGTATATTGATAATTTGAAGCTTAAACCATTACTGAGATAGATAGATGGATAGATAGGTTTGTGTGTGTGTGTTTTACAGGAGCAGCAGTGTGTTCAATACAAATATTTAAAAGGTGGAATAAAGCATAGACATAATAAAATCAAATAAAAAAATAAACAGCAAAGATAAAATATAAATATTCTACAGTAGAAGAGCGATATATCACAAATAATACACAATGTAAAAAATTGCGGATAAATTACAATGATCTATAAAAGACAGCAGAAAACTGCAGCCAGCAACAGCAATATAGATGTATATTGAGACGTTGTACTCTGAATCTGTATGTGTAATTATACAAATACATTTAAAACACGATTTAAAAAAATGTTTCAACAAACAAAAACAAAGTACATCATTGTAAAACATGATCCGTTTACCGTCAAAAAAAAAATATATACACTTTTCTATTCAGGCACATCACTGGGCAGCTGGCGGAGCTTTGACAACACAGAGGGGTCCTTAGTTTAGCGCCAGTTTCGACTTCTCCCTCTCGCTGCTGGCTGCAGCTTTTCAATAAAACTATATTAGCTTGTAATCGTGTCTAAAATAACTTTTGCAAAACTACGCGTCGTGCTCCTTGGTGACAAAGCAACGTATTGACAGGTTGGACGTAGCTGTAAACGTTGCAATAAAGCTAGAAAAGGACACAACAGCGGAACCAGAGGTACGTTTCATTATCTTTAAGCACACTCACATACATGGACTGATTCATTTGAAAGAGAAAAAAGGCGATTGTTTCATTTGGACTTTCCCAGGGATACAAGCTGTGAAACTCAAATATACATTAAAACAGCCAACACTGACTGAACCTTTAATTAACTCAATATATCATTGTGTTATCATTTACAGTATAATGCAGTGTAATACTGATTGAATGACAAATCCATCTATGTAGAAAACCTTTGATTCAGCTTTTGGTATCTACATTTCAGCTTGCATTAAGAGTATTGGTTCATTTTACAATGTATTGCAAGCAACTGGAAATGAAACATAAAAACTTAAACGAGAGTCTTAAACATATTGGATGTTAGAAAATATTGCACAATAAGTGATTTTTTTTTTAAAAAGCACACTGTCAAGATGAGTGACATTTGGTTCGTAGGACAGAGATGCTGAATTAACGCCTTCATTTCTTTGTCAAATCTTAGACTGTTTAACACTTAAGTGTAAAGTATTATATTTAAAATTCTTGTTATTCTGAAGAGAAAGCAGGCCAGATCTAGTTTATTTTCGGAGGTTGTTAAAGTTTTTCCATCACTCCTCGACAATGATATATCTGCTTTTTTGTCACCAGATCATCTGAAATCAGCCCCATCACCAACTTTCCTAAAATGGACAGTAAGTATGATGGCCTTTAGATTAGCTTTTTATTAGCAACCCCCCTGACCCCCCTTTTTAAATTGTCTTTTAATCTTTATTATTTACCTACTTTTATATTGTTTTATATTTATTTTATAGGCCTTAAAGGGTTTCATCTTATTTATTTAACAGTTTCAATAGCAACATTTATTTTTACGTCTGTTTTTTAATATTTTAATCGTTTAACCTTTATTAGAATCTTAACATCTGATCTTATTTTTCACTTTGCACGTGCTGTATGAAAAGTGCTATATAAATAAAGCTTTATTATTTAAAACACATTAAAGTCCAGCTCTATGAACAGATGAAAACACTCAGTTTATGTCTTCTCTGTACAGGTGAGGACGATCTGGACATTCTGACGGCGCTGCTGGCTGAGAGCGAGGGGGTCGAAGAAGAACAGGGGGGTCCGGAGCAGGCAGAAGACTTGGACGGCCTGTTCGACGGAGACGATGCTGATGAGGAAGAGTACAAAGATGGCGTGGAGGAGGAAAAGCAAGATGTGGCCACGGATCTCTTTGGAGATGTGGATGACATTGAAAATGAAGGAGAAGACACTAAAACAAATGACATCCTCAACAAGTCCAAGGAGGACTTGCAAGGTTTGTGCCACTGAAGTCTCCTCAAGTTGATGTGCTATGTAGTGTATGCGTTTACCACTTGGAGAGGTCCCAGTTCACCTCCTTGAGAAAAACTGTATAAATGTAATGTATTTCTAACTGTGTGTTCATAAAGGGTTATATAGTAACCAAAGGATGCAAGTAAAATAGCCATAAATATTTCTAAATAGTAGTGGTTGCAGTCTTTGAGGGGCGGAGGTGTGTTTATGAATGTTCACAGTGGTTTTAATGTGCTCTGAGGTTGGACGAGGGTTTCATCCTCCAATTCTATTCTATGTGTTGCTTCTTCAGATGAGCTGAGGCAAATGCAGGAGAAGATGCAGCGGTTGCAGCAGCAGCTGGAAGCGAGTCAGAAGATTTCTACACCTTCTTCCACTCCGGTGAAGACTGCATCCAAACCAATAACATCCAAACCAATAACCTCCAAACCGATAACCTCCAAACCAATAACCTCCAAACCGATAACCTCCAAACCAATAACTTCCAAACCAATAACCTCCAAACCAATCCAAGCCAAGAAGACCAAGACACCAGCAGGTGATTGATGTTCCAGCTAGATCCTGTTTTCCAAACATTGCACAGAATTCATTGATAAATATACTAACGACTGCATATGACTTTAGTGTTAACAAATGTCTGTTTTCTGTCTCCTCACAGCAGCAACTCCTGTCTCCACTCCAGTCAGAGCAGCAGGTCAGAAGGTCCAGGAGTCCTCTGGCTTTTGTGATGAGCTAAAAAATGCTGACTCCTTCACACGCAAACCCAGGGTAGCTCATCCCAAAGCCAGCACATCTCCAGGTAAGAATGGCTGCGCCCAATCAAAGCATTGATTCCCCTGAAAAGAAACTGAAGCTAATAAAAGGTTGCTCGATCCTCTAAAGCAGGGGTCGGCAACCCGTGCCAATGGTGGCACGCGGGACCGTAACCAGTGGCACACGAGGAATAAGTGTGCAAAATATTTAAATTGTATTTTCGGACACTGAACGAGACCGCCGGCAGAGCGCGTCTCCCCCTGCAGAAGGAAGCCATGCACGCAGCGCAGAAGGATAACTTCTAGGCCCCGCTCTCTTTACAGTTTTTCTCGATTGCTAACACACAACGAGCGAGGCTCCCCCCCCCCCCCCCCCCCTTGACAGTTAACGAGCGTCATTTTTATTTATTTCATTTATTTATTTTGAAGGGAGATTATTGAATAATATTTAATTTAAATACGATATATTTGTATGATTTATTTTGTTAATAACCAGGAAATAAAAAATCCTCACAAATATTTATAAAAAAGTAGTAGATGGAGAAAATATTGTCTAGATTAATTGATAGGAAAAAACATTGGTAAAGATTCTAAAAAAAATAACGGTTATATTAAATTAATAAAAATATATATATTTAATTGAATTGATGAAATAAAGTGGTTGGATTAATAAAAAATAAAAAAATTGAAATATATTTATTTATAAATAAGACTGCTACTTTTATGCACATTTATATGAGTGTGTTTTCTTCACAGAAGAGCGAGGCCCTCTGGTGGAGATAAAGCTCGGCGGCACCTTCCAGCCAGCAGAGAGCAGCAGCAGCAAGCGCCTCAGTCCGGCCAATCGGAGCAGACCTGCCGCGGCTGCTTCTTCCCTGCTTCCTCTTTCTAAAGATGTGGCTGTAGAGAAATACTCAGGACTGCGTCTCAGGTGAGGACACTGAAGTGATGAAGACACAGGAAAGGTCAGCAGTGGAACATCTAAAGCTAAATCTGCTCTCTGTTTTCAGGAGACCGCGCGTTTCCTCCAGCGAGATGGACCGCAAGATGGCCGACCGACGTCTGATCCGCCTGTCGCAGGTGCCGGAGCTAATGGCTCGGGAGAAGCTGGAGGACAGCGACTGGGTGACTTTTGCTGTGCTGGTCAACAAGGCCACACCACAAAGCAACAGCAGCGTACGTCAAAGCAAACAGATACAATTGTGCAAGAGAAAGTCTAAGATGTGCAAGTAAATACAAATAAAATAGCAATAGTGTGTTTCTATACACTGTAGAACAGGGGTAGGCAAGTAAGTTTGGCCGTGGGCCAATTTTTTGCTGAGCCGCAAGATGGCGGGCCAGAACATAATCAAAGCCTAATTCAAGGAATTGATTTTGGTAAGAGGGCGCAGCGCCCCTGTTCCCCGGTTCAGAAAAAAACTCTGATATCGCTGATGACCCTCCCCATCAACACTCTGATGCGCAGTCAGATCCGCTGATTGGTTCACTGATGATATAGGCGCCCAATCCAGAGCCTGTGGCTAGACCCGCCCATAGGGAGGCTCGTCCTCTCTAGACCCATTTCAGTCCCAAAGCCAGGGCTATTATCTGTATTTTAACAGACTTATCTTTTAAATTGAGGTGTATTTATTGTTCTCTTCAAAGTCTATTTTTCTCTGAAATTGTAGGGAGGATGGTCCTCCCTTTCCTCAATGGACGAGCCTCCACTGAGTAAAGTAACTAGCAGTGTTATTTAACATGCTTTTATTCTGATAAGTATTGTCAAGTTCTCTGGGTTTTTGGCATTTATTTGAGTGTTTGCCCACATTTGAGAGGCTTGAGGGACAACTGGAATCCTTTTTCCTTTTCTTTATTTCAACTTTTCAAGGACACATTAGGATTCTTTCAGGTTGAAAACCTTTAAAAAATACCAAAGGACAAAATAAATCAATTACAGGAGTTTTGCTTTGCAATTTCATATATTATAACCTAAATTAATCAGTAACCAAGTATTTTACTCAAACTCAATGTATTTAATAGTTAAATAAGTACTTTAATTGACCTGGTTCCCCCCAACCACACATTTGCCATATGTGACCCGCTCTATCGAAATCAGTCGGAAGTCGCAACGGCTCATTTCAAAATAAACGTGGATTTGCGTAAA